GAGGTCTAGGCGCCATCTGAGCCTGGCCACCTAAAGTCCTGAAGAGCTGGAAATATCTCTTCAAGGCAAACAATGACTACTCAGTGAAAAAAATGATGTTTTTCACTGCAAATATTCGTAAATGGATTAACATTAGTACCTGCGACTAGATGTTCCTTAGTTGCGTTGTGAGGGAGATGAGGGACGCGGTGGTCAGGCGCCGCCCCTGCAGCTGCCTGCAACAGCTCGCCCACCACACCAGACACACACTTGCCCGCTGACAGCAACGATCGAGCTATCTAAACATGCAAAAACAATATAAAAACAATTAAACAATTAAAAAAAAGACAAAGAAAAGTATATTGAGGCTGACCATTGGGTTTTTGCGTACATTTATCCAATATCACAAGATTCTTGAATCTTTTTAGTCGTCTCTCCTTATAAGCTTGTTATATAATAAAACTATTTACATAAATTAGTTACCTCAGGCAATGCACGTGGTTTAGCGGCGTGTAGTGTACGCAGCAGTGCTGCGGAGTGTGCGGGGCGGCGCGGCAGTACGTGCACCGCCACGCCCCTAAGGAACCCGCACGCGGCACGCGTATAAGGTCCCTCCTCACCACGACCTCCTTCCTCTGCTATAAACTAACGAACATATCTAGTTAAATATTGAGCACTGAAAATCGTCGAAATAGTTAGTTACTAACATACTAGCTGTCACCCGCGACTCCGTCCGCGCGGATTGATAAAGACAATTAGTAGGCTATGTGTTCTACATCTACGCCAAATTTTGGCGAGATCTATACAGCTGTTCTGTAGATACATTCTAATAAACATCCATCCATCCATTCACTTTTATAATATTAGTAATAAGTAAGATTAACTATTTTATTATTAACTGTTTTATTTTTATTATAATGTGGAACTATCTTACGGCATTAAGTTGCGTGCATGCGGTGTCCACATCGAAGTGACAATCCTGGGCATCGAAGACGGCGGCCAGCAGGCCCGCCACGTGCTCGGGCTCCAGCCGTGGCTTGGCGGAGACTCCGCCCCCAACCCCGCCCGCCATGTCCCACAC